ATTTAGAGACCCCCACTTCTAATTTTTGAGTATTTTAAATTCCAGAAACTATTAAGAACCTGGACTGTTGAGCTCTTAAAAAAGATCAAGTTTACCCAGACTCATAATTTGTTTTACATGCTATCTTTTTCGAAAAACCTTGAAAATCTTCTCACATCTTCAAAGCTTGGTAAAGGTCATGCAGCACACCAATTCACCATGACCACAGTCATTTTTTATGTTACTCTTCTCCATTAGCATCTTCCTCCTCATCATCAGTAGCCACATCATTATATTTAGAGTACTTAATATGTAACAAGCACCATGCTATCTCATTTAACCCTGACCACATTATTGTGAGGTAAATATGTTATTATTCATATTTTAGAGATGAGAACACTTAGCACAGAGATATAATTTGCACTAAAAAAAAAAAGAGACAGAGTTAGAATGTAACCCCCAAATAATCTGACTAATCTTCTTAGGCACAGCGAAACAGTCAACCATCATGTTTGTCACTTGATGTAGAATAAGTGTATATGTTGACTTGTCTTTGTCCCCAACAAATGTTTTATTGGCCAAATGATAGGCTATGGACTCTATGGACATAGCTTGTCTTTCTGTAGCTCTTGGGCAAATCTGAGAAGTTAGTACTTCACAAAAATACATTTTGTCTCTTGTTGGAAACATTTCTGCCCATGTCAGGGAGTCAACATTCTTGCATTTTCTCTCCTTTCACCATTAAAAAAGCATTCATGTGTTTGTTGACTATAAAGGACAATAAATGGCATAAGCCAAAAGGATAGTTACATTTTTAGAAAGGAATAAATTTTTGAATTTTATCATGAATTTCAGAGGAATTTATTTTAGAATGGGTCTTCTTTAATATTTTAGCTTCAGATAAACCAGCAAGATTTTTCCTCTTTTACAACTGAACTCCTTAAGTGATCTACTTATTCTCTCTAACTGCTTTTATTTCTTGGCCTCTAGCTATTCTTCCCACTATTCCACTGAAATGGAATTAAGGACACAAATAATATTATCGCTAAACTCATGGTCTTTCATTAAAATGCTTCTCTTCCATCTTTTTGTGACATTTAAATTTTTGTATCATTTCTTCTGCCTTGAATACTTGAATTCTGCCTTCCATACTGAGGCGTATGTAATGCTACTCTTGTTTAGCTCCCCTCCCACTTCTTGGAATCGTTTTTTTTCTTAAAAGCTTTTCTGTCTTTTGATCTCCTAATTGTATGAGTTCTTCAGGCTACTACTTGAGCAAATAATACCTATATTTAAAATTGTCAGTGGTGCCCCACTTAAAGCTTTCTGAAGTGTGATCTATTGAATACTCTTCCATGAAACTGCATTTAAAAACAAATGTTTGGGAGCCATGAAAAACACTTGCCTGCAGTCTGCAGACACTATATAGTTAAATATTTTCTTTTATGATCTTGCTGCCAGATTCAGTGAACACATGACACAATTCTGACTAATAAACATAAACTGCTGTCTCTTGACCTTTCACCATTTTTCCTGTTTTTACCTCAGATTTGAAGCGGGACCTCAGGTAGACAACTTGAGATTTTGAAGGAAGGGCAAAGTGAATTGCAGAGAAATCAGCTTCCATACTACAGAGCACTAAGCTTTAGCCAGCAACCTCTTATCTCCTGCATCCTGAGTTCTTGTTACATAAAATGAATAAATCTCTATTTGTTTGGACTTTCACAATTAGGTGATATTTACCTTGCAGTTAAGTATGCTTCTAACTCTATTTTTAAAATGTCACATACTATATGTTTCTTTTGCAACTTCAGAATGTATATTCTTTTTTAAAAATATTTTTTATTTATGCATATAGGAACTGGGGTGTAGGCCAGATGTATGGGGGGAGGGATGGATTCACCAGAAAAACAGAGTGGGGAGCAGAATAGACAGATCTACTGAAAATACTGCTGAGGGGACTGATCTCATGCTGCAGTGGTTAGTGGTGAGAGATAGCTTGATGGCACTGTGTTAATCCCTGTGCCATGACAGAGGCTCCACATATTAATATGTAGATATTAAGATATTAATATCTTAAAGGTACAGAGAAGTACTACAGAGAAGAAATCTGTTGAATTTTGCTTAGTAGATCATCTCCTAAACTATTAATAAATTGATCAAGGAGCCCTTTTCTTTCCACATTAATTATTGTTATTACTTAAGAGTTAAGGTTCCTGGCTCTCCCTGGTGGCACAGCGGGGTAAAGCACAGCACAAAGAAGCTTAAGCCACTTCTGCATGAGTTCAATCCCTGCCTGCCCCAGGTGACCACATGGCGCGGCAGACCTCTCCTGACCCGCCCGCTGCTCCCCTCAGCAGTGTACTTCCTCAATCTGCCTGTTCTGCTTCCCGCTCTGTCTCTGGTGAATCCTCTCACCCTCTGCATCTCTGGCCTGTACCCCAGGTCTGTACGAATAAATAAATCTTTAAAAAAAAAAGAGTTAGGGTTCCTTACATCCTTGCTTCTCAAAGTGTGTCCTTAGACCAGTAGCAGCAATCACCTGAAATTTAGAAAACCAAGATCTGTGCTCTCCCTGGTGACACAATGGGTTAAAGTGCATCACTATGACGTTTCCCAAGTCACTGCAGCATGAGTTTGATTCCAGGCCAGGGAGATGACCCACATGACATGGCAGACCTCTCCTAACCTGCCTGCTGTTTCCATTAGCAGTGTACTTCATGAATCTGCCTGTTCTGCTCCCTGCTCTATCTCTGGTGAATCCTCTCACCACCCCTACACCTCCAGCCCATACTCTAGTCTCCAGTTCTGTATGCATAAATAAATAAATCTTAAAAAAAAAAGAAAGAAAGAAAACCAAGCTCTTAGATCCAATTCAGAACCACAATCTGTTTAATAATATCCCCAGGTGATTTAAATGACATGAAGTTGAGAAACACTGCTTTGGAAAACAGTGGTTAGAGGATAAATTACAACTAACTTTAACATCTTTATGTAACCCATTATTTTAAAGACATCTATTATTATTGTTCTTTAATGCCTACTTAACTCATAATCACAGCTAGTTCTCACTGACCGTTTACTTTGTGCAAGGCATTATTCTAATTACCTGTGTAATTCTCAGTACAACCCTGTGAGGTAGGGTTTCCCCCACTATCTGAAATCAGAGCATATCTATGAGCTCTTTTTAATAAAAGCTGAAATGGCATAAAGCAAAGAAACAATTACTATTAATTTTTTGTTTTAACTGGGGTGTAGGCCAGAGGTGCAGGGGGTAAGAAGACTCAGCAGAGACAGAGTAGGGAGCAGAACAGGTGGACTTTACTGCTGAGGGGAGCAGCAGGTGAGATAGGAGAGGTCTGCCTGCCATGCATATGTGGGTCAGCTTCCTGGGCTGGGGAGTTGGGGGCTGAGGGTGGGTGGGTAGGGAATCAAACTCAGGCACTACTGCACTACTGCTGCTTGCACTGAGACTTAACCCCTAGGGCACCAGGGAGGCCCCAATTGCTATTAATTTTTTTTTTTTAAAGATTTATTTATTTGTGCATACAGAACTGGG